CTCTTCATCTGTGGGTTCGTACGCCGCTCTCACAATCTCACTCCGCTTGTCGAACAGAGGCTGATAAAGAGCTGCATATTTTCGCTCCAGCTCGTGGACTTCTTCATAGAATTTAGCTTCGATATGGTCACATTTGACCTGGAGGTTCTTAAGTGCATTAACACGTCTTTTCACCACCTTCGGTAAACTCTCCATGTATCCTGAGGGAGATCCTACGAGTCCATCCAGCCTCTCCTGCAGCGCCGCCAGAATCTGAGGATTCTGCATCATCTGCCGCGTCAGCTGACGTGCTTTACTGTTGTCTTCCTCAGCGTCTTCCTCCTCCTCTTCAACATCTTCCATATCTGCTTGGTCCATTTCAGCCTGGTCTTTATCGTCCAGAGCTCCTTCCGTGGGATCCGAGGCAGGTGCGCACCGCAGATGTATCCACTTACGCGGTGGCCTCACTCCATTCCCACGGCTCTCGGCCACGCCCCCTCGCCACACTTCCTTACATGTTGGTTTTTTTTTTTCAGGAGGACTTGATGTATTATCATGTTGTAAATCCAGCAGCTATAATCTCTTTACTGCAGCACAGACTAACATGGCGGACTAAAAATAAGTGCTGTAAGTTTGGATATACAATATATATTCACTAATGAATCCTAAAACGTCAAATATCAAGGAAACCATCTTAATGTTGTAGTAAAAGCACATTGAATATGAACAGACATCATAAAGTTAATGGCCCGTCACGAGCGCAGCCTGCACTGCTCCTGTCTGTGGAGAATGGACCAACTCTGATGAAATCCATAGCAAGCCACCAAAACAATGCCTTTGTTTCAGGAAACGTCTTGAATAATTATGGAAATATGAATTGTACATTCATAACACATTTGCTGATATGCTATGTTAATATTTACGGTGGCAATAAATAATTTCACACCCATGAAAAATCCAAAAGTTTCCACAGTTTCAGAACTGTTGTAGGATGAAATACGGAACAGAGTGTGTTCTAAATACTGCACAGTATAAATATGTCCATGATCCCAACCATATTTAGATATTACAGGATGCTAATTAGTGATAGTAACACTTTAATTCATTCCAATTAATTATGCCTTTTACATGCAACCCAATCAGCATTCCAACCCTAACTATATAGTGTGTGCATATAACTGATTAATTTTACTCAGTAGTTAAATGAATGCTTACAATTTAACAAGGGCATCTTAAAAATAAACTGTAACTTTAGGGTGAGAGTGTATGGGTGTTTCCCAGTTCTGGGTTGCAGCTGGAAGGTCATATGTAAAACATATGCTGTATAAGTTGGCTGTCCATTCCGCTGTGGCAACTCCTGATGTATAAAAGGACTAAGCCGAAGGAAAATGAAATGAAATAAAGACTGTGCAGCAGGTTAGTATTCCCCCTCTGTGTGTGTGTGTGTGTGTGTGTGTGTGTGTGTGTGTGTGTGTGTGTGTGTGTGTGTGTGTGTGTGTGTGTGTGTGTGTGTGCGTGTGTGTGTGTGTGTGTCGGTCTGTCACTCGCTGACAATCTCAGTCTGGCTCTTTGTCCAGGCAGGCGTCTGCGTCAGGATTCCCCGTGTCTGTGGCTGCAGAGATCCAGATGTGATGTGCTGGTGTTTGAGTCTGCGTGATTCTGACACACTGCAGAAAATCGAAAAAGCTTAATGTGGCTGCGAGCCAGCGACGCCTGCGAGAACATCCTCCCATCTGCCATGTGCAGTTGGCAGCGTGTGTCTCGCTCCGGTTTATACACAGAATGATACAGTGTTCAGTGGAAGAGAGAGAGAGAGAGAGAGACAGAGAGTGCATGTGTGTGTTTGTGTGTACGTCTACTTGTTTGTGATTTACAAAGATTCAAATTTGTGTAATGACACGGTTCTGCTACGACGTTGGTATGACAATGTTGAAGTGGTTTATGAGGACATGCCTTGTGTCCTCATAATTCCAGCATAAGCTCATGATAACATAGCCCTATATACATTTCTGGAGATCGCGATTTATGTAGCCAGAAGTATGTATGGTTGCATTTCACCTTTAAAATAAACGCTATGGGACAGTATGATGCCATTCCTTTTTGCTAGCAGCTGACCGCTTACCTCCATATGGATGTTTTTCCCACTGTTACCACTTTGTCCAGTTAGCTCGCCATGTATGTCTGTGGACTTGAGACACAAATGAGAGTTGACTATTACAACAGGGTTTGGTTCTGTTTGAAGAACGATTCCAGCACTGTTGTTACTGTAAATATTTTCAAGGAAAAGGTGCTAAAAGTTGCTAGATTCTGTCATACGTTGATTTGAATATTACTTACGTCCTCACGTTATGTCATTTCTGTTTGTTTAATAGCCTATGGTCAAAAAAAGGGTATTTATATTTGCACTAGCTTTATGTAAGCATGTCAATTTAACTAAATTTATCGCTGCTTGAATACAGTATATCAGTAGAGATGTAGTGAATTTGCAGTAATCTCTCAGACATAATAAACTCAGATAAGTTCTGAAGCTCTCACCTAAAATATCTGTGATTGTGAACATGAAAAAAATAAACGGTCAAATTAAATTGTTAAAATTAAGGAAAAGCTGATTGGTTTGACTGTACATGGGAAATACCTTCACACTGTCGGTGCAAAATCATTTGCCGTCGGTAGGCAGAAGGGTGATCTGCTTCCAGGCTGCAGGTGGGAGAGGATGATGTACAAGGTGCTTTGAAGCCTCCTTTCCACTGCACATGACAAATGACAAGCCACAGACCAGTAGTCCGGGAGCTGCGAGAAGTTCCGATCATCTCCGTATGTGGAAAATTCGGATCTGAACTGAGCTGCGGATCCGTTGAAATATTTGAACTTCTGCGACTAGACCGTATGTGACCAGTCGACCGGATGTGATGTATTCCAGTGTTGTACAAGCAGGTCCGTGCACACAAGATGAGAAATAGGAGTTTTTTCATTATTTTTTGAATGAGAGAAAAGTCTAAATAAAAAAACATTTCTATTTATAAATGAGAAATAAAAATACTATTGTTTATGTTGTTTCCACATTTCCTCCAAAAAATGTTAGCGGTCTATGAGTTTCTAGTATTCATTCATTTATTGAACCATGGTAAACATACGGAGAATAAAGACTCTTGATTTTGTACTCTGTTATTTTGGACACTGCTGAAACAGCTTCTCTCCCATGGTGCGCAACAAAACTGAAAATTTTGTGCGACTGCCACAAGGGGGCGTAATCCGACAGTTGTGTGCAGTGGAAAGGCGGCTTTCTCAAAATTTTAAGATACAGTATATTCCATTCTCATGTGGTAATAGTGATCTTACAGTAGAGTATAGGAAACATTCCTCTATTTCCAGCTCTTTCTGTGAGCACAGTGAACACAGTCTCTACTCTGGAGGTGTGTGTGTGTGTGCACGTGTCATTCTGATCCTCTGATGTTAAATGGATAGTTCTGGCAAATGTGAAAAATCTCTGTTGATTTATTTACCCTCAGGCCATCCAAGATGTAGGTGTCTTTAGTGTTCGGTATATCAGGTTTTTGCAGTAATACTTTTACATAGGACAAGGTATAACAGTGCTCTTTATATACATCTACAAAAGTTTGAGCACATCTAAATTGGAATAATGGCAGAGGACACACACTTGAAAATGTATACATACATACAACATACATACATACAAACATAGATGTACATACACTTACCGGCCACTTTATTAGGTACACCTTACTTGTACTGGGTTACCTTCAGAACTGCCTTAATCCTTCGTGGCACAGATTCAACAAGGTATTGGAAATATTCCTCAGAGATTTTGGTCCATATTGACATGACAGCATCAAGCAGTTGCAGCAAATTTGTCGGCTGCACATGATGCGACTCTCCCGTTCCATCCCATTAATCAGATCTGGTGACTGTGGAGGCCATTTGAGTACAGTGAACTCATTGTAGACTCATCAGACCAGTCAACGTTTCTTTAATTTTCTATCGTCTAATTTTGGGGAGCCTGTGTGAATTGTAGCCTTAGTTTCCTGTTCTTAGCTGACTGGAGTGGCAGCCGGTGTGGTCTTTTGCTGCTGTAGCGCATCCGCCTCAAGGTTGGACGTGTTGTGTACTCAGAGATGCTCTTCTACATACAGTACCTTGGTTGTAACGAGTGGTTATTTGAGTTACTGTTGCGTTTCTATTAGATCGAACCAGTCTGGCCAGTTCTCCTCTGACCTCTGGCATCAACAAGGCATTTGTGCCCACCGAACTGCCACTCTGGATATTTTCTCTTTTTAGACCATTCTCTGTAAACCCTAGAGATGATTGTGCATGAAAATCCCAGTAGATCAGCAGTTTCTGAAATACTCAGACCAGCCCGTCTGGCACCAATAACCATGCCACGTTTAAAGACACTAAAGTCACCTTTCTTCCCCATTCTGATGCTTAGCTTGAACTTCAGCAGATCGTCTTGATCATGTTTACATACCTAAATGCATTGAGTTGCTGTCATGTGGTTGGCTGATTAGAAATTTGCATTAACGATCAGCTGGACAGGTGTACCTAATAAAGTGGCCGGTGAGTGTTCATACCTATAACAATATTAATAGTTTTTAGTTAAAAATGAAAAAACACTGCATATTGTTGTCTTCGCTGCAGTGTACTATCCCTTTTGCGTACTGTAAACTAAATTTTACATCTTTCTGACAATATTTGATCGCACTGCCGGAAAGATTCATTTAAAAAAAAGTATTTGTCATCTATGTTCTTAATCCGCATGCCCCTTCAATGACTTAAAAACAATAGTGCCACCATGTGAAAACAATGTAGCATAATAAATTGCTGAATTGCTTACCACTGGATTCTACTGCATTCTGTTTCACACGGACACTCTGTTTGCTGACAATTTGTAGACAGTATATAGTATTACTGTGACTGACACATTTTTCACAATGTCACTAATGTCTGCTGCTCATCTCTCTCTCTCTTTCTCTGCGTGTGTGTGCGTGTGTGTGTTTCTATAGTAACCACCACATTGTCTCCGGGCTCAAGTCATGCCAGGAAGTGCAATGAAACTGAGAAGACATACTGCATCAACGGTGGAGACTGTTATTTCATACATGGTATAAATCAGCTGTCCTGCAAGTAAGTTACACATTGTCAAAACACATGCATTTACCCTAATTTCACATTGACAATCCTTTAACCAAATGTTGTTTTCATTAGACTGTTTATGGGCTTGATTTTAACACACTAGAGAGTGTTTGTTGAAATGCTAGTTTGACATTGCCTTTCATTGCTTGTTTAATTAGTTAATAAAAAATAAATTATGATTATTGCTATTAAAAATATTGCAACAAATGTCTGTTTGCAGTTCTGAATGCCATAAACCATGCATAGATTCCTTATTAGTAAACCATGTTATTTGATTACTGCTACTATACTTTAATTTATTGCTAATATTTAGATTTTTTCCTTCATTTTAATTCTAGTGCAGATTCAAGTAATTTTGTTTTGTGTTTTTGTATTTTTGTTAGTTTGTTTTAAAATATTTGTTGCTTTTTATAGAGCTGTGGCAAAAAAAAAAAGTTTTGATTCTGCGTTGATTCTAAGATTTTCAAAATGCATTGCTATTCTCTCTTGAATCGATTCTGAGCTTAGTTTTCAACAGCAGATGGCGCTGTATGCTTTACAAACAGCTGTACTCTGCTTGCATCCATTTTGTTACTACTACCGCTTGAACCTATGTTATCATTAAAGACATTGGGAAAGTTTTAAAAGAATTACGAGAGTGTTCATACTGAGCTGTGAGCTGTTTACATCAATCTCCTGTTATAAAAGCCAACTTACATGATTCATTGAATGCACAAGCATTCCATATGGGCATTTGAACAGGTAAATACTAGTGATGGGTCGTTCATGAACGATTTGTTCATTTTGAACAAATCTTAAATATGACTCGGGAACTACGAGTCCTCTCAAGGAGTGATTCGTTTATCCGCGCGTGCGCACATTTGTGCAGGTAGTATCGTTAATTTCAAGTCTTCATCACATTGGCAGAAGCCAATCATACGCGTTTAGAGCCGGAAAAAGAATTGATCTGCTACCCTCTTGAGTCCTCTATCGGGTCTGAGTCACTCGTTCATCACGGGCCAATCATACGCGTTTAGAGCCGGAAAAAGAATTGATCCGCTCCCCTCTCGAGTCCTCTATCGGCTCTGAGTCACTCGTTCATCACGGGCCAATCATATGCGTTTAGAGCCGGAAAAAGAATTGAACCGTTCATCTCTCGAGTCCTCGGGTTTGAGTCATTCTGTCACGTAAACAACGAACGATCATGGCTCCTGTCGGCTTAGACTTTTGCATTGATTAAAATTATATGTGACTGTCAGTGTAATGTGAATAAACCACTGACATTTGAAGACATGAAGAGGTAAGCTGAGCAAAGAGACAACAATGCCTTTATAGACAAAAGAGCAGGTAAACATTGAATTATTATTTTCTCCTTCTTATATTCTATTTATGACTTATTTGTCATGCAGTCAACCTTTTGGGCTAGTTTTAGATGTGTTTGGAAGCAATTCATAACATTTTAATAATATTTTGGCAAATTGAACCAAATGAACGAAATGGCTCGAAAAAAGATTTGTTCATCTTGATGAACGAGACTCAAAGATCCGAGTCAGTAAAATGATCCAAACTTCCCATCACTAGTAAATACTAACTTAGAGCACCATATTCGGTTAAAAACTAGCCTAGAGTGCCATCTGCTGTCTTGAGTGCATCTTCAGTTAAAAACTAGCCTAGAGCATCATATTTGGTTTAAATACTAGCCTAAAGTGCCATATTTGGTGAAAAACTAGCATAGAGCGTTATCTGCTGTTAAAAACTAGCCTAGAGTGTCATTTGCTGTTAAAACTAGTCTAGGTTGCCATCTTCGGTTAAAAACTAGCCTAGATTGTCATCTGCTGTTAAAAACTAGTCTTGAGTTAAAACTACCCTAAAGTGCTATATTTGGTTAAAACTAGCATAGAGTGCCATCTGCTGTTGAAAACTAACCTATAGTGACATCTTTGGTTAAAATCTAGCCTAGAGTGCCATATTTGGATAAAAACTATAGAGCGCCATCTGCTATTAAAAACTAGCCTAGAGTGTCATATGCTGTTAAAACTAGCCTAGAGTGTCATATGCTGTTAAAACTAGCCTAGAGTGCCATCTACTGTTAAAATGAGCCTAAAGCGCCATCTGCTTTTAAGGAACTAGCCTATAGTGCCATTTTCTGTTAAAGAACTAGCTTAGAGTGCCATTTGCTGTTAAAATCTACCCTAGAGCACCATCTTTGCTTAAAAACTAGCCTAGAGCAACATCTGCTGTTAACAACTAGCCTAGAGCTTGGTCTTCTGTTAACAACTAGTCAACAGTGGCATCTTCTGTTAAGAACTATTCTAAAGTGCTGTCTACTGATAATAACTAGCCTAGAGCGCCATCTGATGTTAAATAGCTAGCCTGGAGTGCCATTTATGGTTAAAAGCTGACCTTGAGTGCCATATTTGGTTTAAAACTAGCATAGCTATTAATCTGCTATTTAAAAACTAGCCCAGTGTCATATGCTGTTAAAAACTAGCCTAAAGCGCCATCTGCTGTTAAAACTAGCCTAGAGCACCATCTGCTGTTAAAACTAGCCTAGAACACCATCTGCTGTTAAAGAACTAGCCTAAAGTGCCACCTGCATAGAGTGCCATTTGCTGTATAATAACTAGCTTAGAGTGCCATTTGCTGTTAAAATCTAGCCTAAAGCACCATCTTCGGTTTAAAACTAGCCTAGAGCAACATCTGCTGTTAAAACTATAGTCTAGAGTGCCATCTTCAGTTAAAACCAGCCTAGAGTGCCATCCCCTGTTATAAACTGGCCTAGAGTCTCATATGCTGTTAAAAACTAGCCTAGGGCACCATCTGCTGTTAAAACTAGCCTAGAGCTCGGTCTTCTGTTAACAACTAGTTTACAATGCTGTCTACTATTAACAACTAGACTAGAGTACTGTCTACTGATAATTACTAGCCTAGCGCGCCATATGCTGTTAAATAGCTAGCCTGGAGTGCCATTTATGGTTAAAAGCTGACCTTGAGTGCCATATTTGGTTTAAAACTAGCATAGCTATTAATCTGCTATTTAAAAACTAGCCCAGTGTCATATGCTGTTAAAAACTAGCCTAAAGCGCCATCTGCTGTTAAAACTAGCCTAGAGCACCATCTGCTGTCAAAACTAGCCTAGAGCACCATCTGCTGTTAAAGAACTAGCCTAAAGTGCCACCTGCATAGAGTGCCATTTGCTGTATAATAACTAGCTTAGAGTGCCATTTGCTGTTAAAATCTAGCCTAAAGCACCATCTTCGGTTTAAAACTAGCCTAGAGCAACATCTGCTGTTAAAACTATAGTCTAGAGTGCCATCTTCAGTTAAAACCAGCCTAGAGTGCCATCCCCTGTTATAAACTGGCGAGAGTCTCATATGCTGTTAAAAACTAGTCTAGGGCACCATCTGCTGTTAAAACTAGCCTAGAGCTCGGTCTTCTGTTAACAACTAATCTACAATGCTGTCTACTGTTAACAACTAGACTAGAGTACTGTCTACTGATAATTACTAGCCTAGCGCGCCATATGATGTTAAATAACTAGCCTGGAGTGCCATCTACTGTTAAAAACTGATCTAGAGTGTCGTCTTCGGTTAAAAACTAGCCTGGAGTGTCATATGCTCCTAACAACTAGCCTAGAGTGCCATTCATGGTTAAACAGTAGCCTAGAGTGCCATCTGCTCTTAACAGCTAGCCTAGAGTACCATTCATGGTTAAACACTAGCCTAGAGTGCCAACTGCTCTTAACAGCTAGCCTAGAGTGCCATCTATGGTTAAAAACTAGCAAACTAGCTTAGAGCGCTGTTAACAACTCAACAAGAGTGCTGGCTGCTGTTAATCATAGGGTGCCATCTACTGATAATAACTAACCTAGAGCACCATCTGCTGTTAAATAACTAGCCTAGAGTTCCATATTCGGTTAAAAATCAGCCTAGAGCACCATATGCTGTTAAAAATCAACTAAGAGCGCCACCTGCTGTTAAAAAATATCCTAAAGCACCATCTGCTGTTAAAAAGTAGCCTAGAGTACCATCTGCTGCTAAAGACCTAGCCTATAGTGCCATCTGCTGTTCAAAATAAGCCTAGCGTAAGGTGGTCGAGAGAGCTTAAAGTGCAGCAATTTAAAGCCTGGTTTATATTTCTGCATCAAGTGATCGGCGTGAACCACAGTTCATGCAACGCACGTAATTGTGCATTTACTTTTGCGCGCTGTTTCTGTTGTTCTGCAATAACCTTCCGAAACACTAGTTGGCAGTGAGGTTTTTATGTTCCTCTGTGTTGAGTTTCTTCGCTGGTGTTTTGTTTTTTCTGAACGCTTCCTTAATTTACAAGTTTCTCAAACTTGCTCATTTTGAGGCAGGAACCGGCCGACGTTCAACAACTTTAACCGTGAGGTAAAACTTTTCATACAGAGCTCCTTCATGGGACTCCACACTTGTAAACAATTGCTCCAATGGGCTCACAGGGCTCTCGGTCCCACCCACACTCGTCAGCACTAACAAGCGACCAATCACAGAGCTTGCGCTACGTATCGTTGGGGCGTGTAGTTACATTTTTTGAGAGGTGCAGCGATAGCCACGGTGAGGGCTATGCTTCCAAGTGTAGGCTGCGTCGTAGCATACACGTGCGCTTGACGCAGAAGTATAAATCAGCCTTAAGAAAGCACATGCTATTACAAAAAACACAAACAAATAAAGAAAAGATTTTCATCGGTTTGACAGCGTACTTGTTGCAAATTTTTAGAATGAAACATGAAACAAACATATAAAGAAACGTGCTGCACTTTCTCACAACACATGCAGATGGCACAGAACACAATGTTTCAAGGTGACCCAAAACATAACAAACCTGGCTATTTAGGTTATGGTGATTGATAAAATACAAAAGACAAGTGAACCGTGTAATTAGGATGTTAAAGTAAACAAAAACGTCACCTTTCAAAGATCACCTACAACTTCACTGAGCAACAGTCACGGCACAATAAGCAAATCCCAGCCAGGTCTGTCACATTTATT